AATAAAATAAATATGATAAATAAAAGTTAACAAACATACTAAAATGATATACAATATAAAATAAATGCAGTAAACTTGAACATACGACCTCAAGAAACAAGAAAAACACTCCATGCAGGATGAGAAATGCAAACAAAATGGTGACAATTTTCGAAAAACTCTGTCTTAAACGCAATGATGCCATCTAGTAGGAAATACATTCATTAGACCTTCTGGAATCTTCTACCAGTCAGCACATTCTTCTAAGAAATGCCACAAAAGAATTTCAAGAGTTACCAGGAGTCGATCTATTGGCAAGTTGGGCATTTTAGCAGAAATTGAAAAGCTGATACATTGGCAGATTGGGTGTAAGTAAATAGGGATAGGGGAACACGCAACCAAAAATAAACAAATTTTATTTTAATTCTATTTTCCAGTTTTACACGAATTCCTTTTCCTACCAGTTCTTGAAGGTCATCGTTGGTAAGACTCTCACCAGAAACCTGCGGTAACTCCTCAATATCCTGCTCATCTACGTCTAGACCTGCTGTATCGATTAGGTCAACAATTTAGTCAACATAACAATACAGCAATAGGCTCTTCTCGTTGAGAATTTTTGGATACCTTCAGCCATAACTTCTTCCGCACTTCGTTCAAGCATTTATCGGTTAATCCTTGTCAAGCGATGCTGATATTGCCTATGGCATTCATGATGATATATTTTTTCTAAAATTGCATCAAACAAACATAGATTTAAAGAAAGTACACCTTTCTGCCACTTTTTTCTGATTGATTCGTGTTCATAAATAATCATATTATATACGAATCAGTGAAATGCTGTGATAATTTAAATCGGCATAAATTTTGAGCGTTTCTTAGGCTTCGAGCATACCATGTTATATCAAATCAGCATTAAGCTGAGTCTTACTGTATTTGTATTTGTTATCTTATGCACAAATATTGTGATTTAAGATGTTTTTTTTATAAATATATTTTTTTAAAAGCAGTGTTAAAGGTAGTTAGTGAAAAAAAAANGTGTGGGGAGTTGTAATGGAACGTTTGTGTAAGAAACAAAGACTCCCAAATAAACTAAGATTCTCCTATTCCCACAATGTTTTACCAGCAAATCTTATAACCAAAGAGAATCAAAGTTATATTCCATCACTTTTTGGCTAGCTCTGTTTGAACATCTATTGTGTAATATCTTCACAATGCTCTGCTAGACAAACACAGCAATCTGGTAGTGGCACCTATATAATAGATTTGCCATTCTTCAGTATCAACAATATTCAGTATTTTTATAACAACTTTATTTTTCTGTGATAACCAAATGATAAATTACATCACATCTTGTTGAAATTCCAAGTTGTCAGCCCATTTCATATCCAGTGTTTTGTTGTTAATAAATATATTATAATAATGTTGCTAATAAATATAAAAACTTACTTTTAATACAGTAGAGTATCGTTTATCCGAATCAATTGGGGACTGGGGTTGTTCGGATAACCAATTACGTATGAAAAAATAATTAACCTATCCCATGTTGAAATTTTTCTCCATTGCGTGTCGCTTCGCATTGAATTTTCGTGGATGTTAAGCCTAATGTAAACTTTTTAAAATAATAATCGTGGCTATTGTATCATTAAAAAAATTTTTTTTATTTTTTTACAAACAAAATAAATTTTATGGAGAATTTATAAAAATGAATTATTTTTCAGGAAGCCAAAAAAATGGCAGAGAAGAAGAAACTAATGATGAAAGAAGAGGAAAGTGAAGATGAAGATATGAGTGAAGAAGAAAGTGATGACGATGGTAACTATTTTTCAAATATTACATGATAATCTATTCTTCAGTTTTGATAGATTAAAGTGTATTACACCGACATTTTCTGCAAAATGTTATCGTTCTTGATTGACACTTGGTAACAGTATTAATTTCACATTTTAAAGAATATAACCCCTTTTTCTAATGTGCCACTGCAAAATGTCACTAATTCAAACATTCTTAATTCTTCAATTAGTAGAAAATGTGATACCAAATTCTATCAAAATTATATTTTAATTGAAAAAATATTATGTAAAATTATTTTTAATATTTAGTATATTTACTTATGATAAAATGACTTTCTAATGACTGTGGATCATAAGAAAAAATGTTTTCATTGAAAAAAAATGTGGATCATAAGAAATAAGTTTTATGATTTACAGATGAGGCTGTAATATATTAAATTTTCAAATGCAATTTGCATAATTTTAAGTAAAATACTTGTTTGCTCTAAGTAGTTTACTGCCATTTTGACTTAAAAATTGATTTTTCAAGATGAATTGGTCTAGACATTTGTGGCTTAATTAAGTGAATGAATTCAAAAATTGGTTAACTTGTGATGATGATGATAAGAGTATAAAGAAAATATAAACATTGGAGCCCTCTGTTACTTGTATGTTCTTGTCACACAACTGTGTGACCTAGGATTTTAGCAAGATGAACAGTGTAATATTAAGTGGAATATTATTATTATTATAAATATTATCTGGAATATTAAGTGTGGGGAGTTGTAATGGAACGTTTGTGTAAGAAACAAAGACTCCCAAATAAACTAAGATTCTCCTATTCCCACAATGTTTTACCAGCAAATCTTATAACCAAAGAGAATCAAAGTTATATTCCATCACTTTTTGGCTAGCTCTGTTTGAACATCTATTGTGTAATATCTTCACAATGCTCTGCTAGACAAACACAGCAATCTGGTAGTGGCACCTATATAATAGATTTGCCATTCTTCAGTATCAACAATATTCAGTATTTTTATAACAACTTTATTTTTCTGTGATAACCAAATGATAAATTACATCACATCTTGTTGAAATTCCAAGTTGTCAGCCCATTTCATATCCAGTGTTTTGTTGTTAATAAATATATTATAATAATGTTGCTAATAAATATAAAAACTTACTTTTAATACAGTAGAGTATCGTTTATCCGAATCAATTGGGGACTGGGGTTGTTCGGATAACCAATTACGTATGAAAAAATAATTAACCTATCCCATGTTGAAATTTTTCTCCATTGCGTGTCGCTTCGCATTGAATTTTCGTGGATGTTAAGCCTAATGTAAACTTTTTAAAATAATAATCGTGGCTATTGTATCATTAAAAAAATTTTTTTTATTTTTTTACAAACAAAATAAATTTTATGGAGAATTTATAAAAATGAATTATTTTTCAGGAAGCCAAAAAAATGGCAGAGAAGAAGAAACTAATGATGAAAGAAGAGGAAAGTGAAGATGAAGATATGAGTGAAGAAGAAAGTGATGACGATGGTAACTATTTTTCAAATATTACATGATAATCTATTCTTCAGTTTTGATAGATTAAAGTGTATTACACCGACATTTTCTGCAAAATGTTATCGTTCTTGATTGACACTTGGTAACAGTATTAATTTCACATTTTAAAGAATATTAACCCTTTTTCTAATGTGCCACTGCAAAATGTCACTAATTCAAACATTCTTAATTCTTCAATTAGTAGAAAATGTGATACCAAATTCTTGGAATAGATAAAACTGAAAGGATTACTTGTTTGACCACTGGATGATTAGATATTATGACCTGCATTGATTACAGGCCTATTTATCACTCAACTTTCTTTTTGGTGACCGTCTCCTTCTTTCTTCAGTAGCTTCCATCCTACTTTGCCAATTTACCTAATTAATCATCACTATGATTGTAAAATTACCATATACTGTAGTTAGAAACGAACCCCCAAGAAAGATGTTTATGAAGGGGGAAATGTCTCTCAGTTTACGAAAAAGTAAAAATCATTTGCAAGTTATAACATGGTACAATACTTAAAAACGTCTTAGTCTGTAGAAAGGTTTCTTTGTCATCTTCGACAGTATCGACATTGTCAAAAAATAAAGCAATCGAGAATTAAAAAATAGATTTCACTAATTATCAGTAATATAGCTACAAATTTTACCACTTGCGAGGTGCGCCCTATGCGTTTGCACCCTAGGTAGCCACCCATTCTCCCTAGTTATGTCACTGCTCTTTACAGATGTAATAAGTAATGGTTATAATGAATAAATCTTGCTGGTCCCCTAATGATTGTTTTAACTGAGTTCAACTGTATTAATTCTGGAGTAATGTATTACAGAAAGACATTGTAAGTTTCTGTTAGTTTTTATACTTATAAGGATCCTAAACTCTGCATTAATATGAATTTAATATAGTGTTATTTTTATTATTATGGACTATGCCTATTAATTGTTATATAAAATATGGAATTATTATATAAATAGATCTATAAAAATAAAAACTGATAACCCAAGTAATCTTAATTAAAAATTTTTTTTTTTTTTTAATAGATGATATGAGTGACATTGAAGTAGGAAGTGACGAAAGTAATATTTTGTATTCTTTAATTTTACTGGATGTTTTAATTTTATTTTATTAAAGTAAATAAATGAAATTTATTAATAGGTGATGAAAGTGAAGAGGAAGAAGAAGAAAGTGATGAAGACGATGATGACAGTTTAGATGAAGAAGAGGATACGAAAAAGCCAAATAAAAGCAGAGATTTAGGACAGTCATTTGCAGATAAGAGCATGAATAGCAAAACTCCAGTTAAAGCTTCAAACAAAACTCCTGCTAAAACTCCTAACAAATTAACTGTTCAACAGAATTCACAGAAAAAACAGATTGAAAATAAAACAGCCAAGACACCTAAACAACAAAATGTTTTTCAATCCAAAATGGAATTTTCTCCCTCGCCTAAAAAAAATGACGATAATTTAAAAACGCCTGCTTCGCTGAAACAATCAAAGGCTGCTGGTTCAGCAAAGAGAAAAGTTATAGAAATTGAAGAGGACGATGATGATGATGACGACGATGATGATGATGAGGAAGAGGATGATGATGATGATGAGGAGGAGGAGGAGGAGGAGGAGGATGAGGAAGAGGAAGATGATGATGAGGATGAAAAAGAAGCACCAAAACTTGTAAAAGCTGTAGAACCACCAGCAAAAAAGGCAAAAAGTGATGGTGAGTATTAAAATTAAATTTATAGGACTATAGCATATAATGAAAAGATTAGTTGTAAACACAATGTTTTAAGAATCACACATTTATTCAAGATTAAATTTTTTTTTTTACGCTATCTCATCTCTTTAACTCTTTAAATTAATTCATTAAGTTTGAATTGATTTGAAGACTGTTCCTTATTTGAATTTTATAAGTGATTATCTGAAAATGAGATAAAACACTTTAATATGTAATTTGATAATGTTCCTGACAAATTTTTCTATCTCGCAAATTGCTTCGCCAGTCCAATGCATTGAAAATTTTTGCTTTCCACATTAGTGTGGACAAATTTCATTAAGGGAATAAAAAAAAAAACACTTTCTGGTTTCTCATTATTTTTATTATTTGCTGTCAGTGTGAACTAACCTATGGAATGACTTCATTCTTTTATGCGACTGTAGAGGAAGAGGGCAACTAGTGTTACATACTGGTACACTAAGTCCACGAAAAACAAGAAACAAATAAAACTTGA